ACAGTTAGTAGTTAGTAGTAGTAGTGTAGTAGTAGTAGTAGTAGTAGTAGTAAAAGTAGTAGTAAGTAGTAGTAGTAGTAGTAGTAGTAGGAGGAGGAGGAGGTGGTGGAGGAGGAGGAGGAGGAGGAAGAGGGGGAGGAGGAGTACCAGTAGGTCTCGTCGTAGTCGCAGTCGTAGCCGTTGTATTACGGGTCTTAAAATCGTTGTTTCATTTGCAGGAGTCGTGACATTTGTAGTTGTAGTAGTAGTGGTAATGGTGTCGACAGTAGTGGTATTCACATATGTACCATTCTGATTCGTAGAAAGAGTCGTCGTGTCAGTCATGGCAGTAGTGGCAGTCGTGCCATCAGTAGTATTGCAGCCAGTAAGAGGGTGAACCTGAAACTGAGTGCACTGCGTTGCAGCAGGAGGTAGAACAGCAGCAGCACCAGTAGCAGGACAAGGACACAAGAAGCGGCATTCTGCGTAACATCAGCCGTGGTAGGAGTACCCGTTGTTGTAGGTGTCGTGGGAGAGTGAGGGCTGGGGAGGGGAATGATGACCAGGAGGGAGCTGGAAGAGGAGGAGAACCACCCACCCTCCCATCCCAAAGGTCCCTTCCTCATCCGTCTCGGAATGTGTTCCTTTGCCTGCGCGAAGCGCCGCCCTTCAAGGACGAACGCGCCATGGGCCTGCAATTCTTTAACGAGGATCTTGTTGATGAAAGTTAGCCCAGCTTTGACATGAACAATGCGACAAGTGGGGTCACGGTGTCATCCGCCAAGCCATAAACAATGCGACAAAGTGGGGTTATGTAATCAGCCACGCTTTGAGAAGGAACGCCCTCTAAAAGTGTAGCGGCTGCTATGTTTTAGCTGCCTTGCCATAAACCCAGCGAGAAGCTGGTTGTAATAAGGGGCAACTCTCCACCCGCATGCTGTTTTAAAATGTCATAATAGCGGTAATGCATGTTGAGGAGGTCTCATGCGAGATCTCCACGTTGGAAAGGAACCGCGCTCTATTCGAGTAGCTGTTTGGCACTTGAAGACAAGGGTGCGCGGCGCAAAGACGAACACCCACTTTGAAAACGACTCGCTTTCCATCCGCGTAATTGTGGGAAGCTTTGAAGACGTATGTGCGCTGCGCCAAGACGAGGGCCCCATGTTTCAAACGACTCACCACGTCTTCCGTGTGGCTGTTGAACGGTGTAGACCGAGCGTGTTCGGTGCTAAGGCGGGAACTACATTTTGAAAACGACCCGCCTTCCGTTCGTGCGACCACGGGAAATGTCAGCTTCAGCGTCGTAATCTGTCAAGGAGTAACAGGCGAAACGCCCAGACCGTTCCATCGACACATCCAGTGAAGCGAAGGGGAGGAGGTACTCAGATGGAGAATGGATAGAGGGTTCAGGCGGCCACTGCGTAGATCTATTCAGCTCCGCAGGTACGGGGTGGTGAACTCAGAGGCTGAGTGGGCTGCGGATACAGCCGCCGGCGATCCAGGCTCCAGGCAGTTGTCGGCCGACGAAGCAGGCGCCGGCGCCGAGCAGGACGCGGCGGCTGACGCCGACGGCGAGCAGGATAATCAGGGGGCACGATATCTTCGCACTGGGCACTGCATGCCCAGTTCGTGCGTTTTTTGTGAATCTGGCGCGGCTGAGGGTGCGGGTATTCTTTTCCGTTGAAAGCATACATAGGCAAAACAATGATGTACAACGTACTACATTGCAGCGCGCTCTAAAGCATTATTTGGCGCTGCGTAGAATTTCGTAGCAATGCGGAGCATAGCACCGCCACTCGTACTTCGTAGACCATCCTTTTGGCGACACATCGGCTTGGGCTGGGGTTGAGGAACTGTGTCGGTCTGCGCTCTGGCGTGATGGCTTGCCCAGCAGCTGCGAGGTTGCCTCTGAGAGTCTTTTACATGCGTGCCCACAACCTTTTTGTTTCTCTCAGCCTCCTTACTACTCAAATGGCGCATCTTTCGATTTGCGATCGACCTCACATCGGATTGGTAACTCATCGATTCCTCCCATATATCTAACTCATCTGTCCCGTCGCACTCTTCTGACTTTTCCTCCTTCCTCCTCGCCCAACCCTCCCCCTTCCGTTTCCATCCCTCTCCCCAATTTCCGTCATCTTCCAAATATGATGCGTATTTTTTTATTGTTTATTTGCCAATCGACTTATTTGCGTGCCTATCTATATCCGATCCGATTGAGATTCCATTTATTTCCTCATGCTGTGCTTTCTTATTTAATCGCTTCGCTCATTCCGCGGGCCCTGGAGTGCTATTTGGGGCCTCTTGGGGCCGCCTTGGGGGCTTCCTGGGGGCTTCTTGGGCGCGTCTTCGGGCTCCTTGGCGGCGTGTTGGGCTCCCCTGGGGCCTCTTGCACTCTCTCATTTCCTATCTCGCATTCCTCTTCCCGAGGACTCGGATCTGCCAGCCGTCAGGAGGGGAAACAAAAACACACACAGACACAATCAATCGTCGAGTCCCAGGAAAGATGGGAAAATCTGGGAAGTGGGGGGGAAGACGAAAACCCAGAAAATACGTGAAAATATGGCGAATCCTTCTATTTGTGTGCATTCCTTCGTGTGTCCGGGGGGCCCCTTCATGGTGGTCGGTTGGTGGGCGCCTCAGGGGCGCCCCGTGCCGCGCGGGTCCCGCCGAGGCTTCGCCCGGTGCCCGCCCGTGGTCGCCCCGCGGGCCCCCCTCGCGCGCTGGGGGGGGGGCCAGCCGAGGCTTCGCCTGGTGCCTGGCCATGGCCTGCGGAAAAAAAAAAGATGCAAAAAAACAGCAAGAAGCACAAACACAAGACACACACAGTGGGAGCAACATAACAAAACAAAACACACACAGTGGGACAAACACACACACAGTGTGTGGTTTTGTGTGTGTGTGTTTTTCCACAGTGTTGTTTTCCCCACAGTGTGTGTTTTGTGTGTGTGTGTGTGTGTGTGTTTTTTCCCGCTGTGCTTTTTTTCCCCCACGTGGGCGTCTCGTGCGTGGTTGGCCGCGCAGATTCTCTTCCTCTTTGAGCGAAGAATGGGCTCCACCACCCTGTCTTCCCCGGACCCGTCTCCTTGTCGCCGCCCCCTGGGACACTGCACATTGCGCGTGTTCTTGCTTCTTCCTTCGTGGTCCATACGAACTCACACCAACCTGGGGCGACCGGCATCGCCCCCCCCCCCCCCCGCATTTGTGTCAAATGATGTTGCGCGCGCCAATGTATCGCAACTTGTCATGAAACAAGAGCCCCTTACAAACAACATGCACAAATACAGACAGTCCACGCGCGATGGCACATGTCGGAATTATATCAACCATATGGGTTCCGCATGTAGTTCAACATACTTACATCGACGCCCCTTAGGCTTTGATATTATAAACCTTTGATACTTTCTGCCCGCGCGCATGCGTTGCAGTCAGTGGCCAGAACCCGCATTCTCGACCACGCGCGGTGCATCCGCGCTGATCCAGCAGGCGCCCGCTGCACGAATCCGCATCAAACATACCGCGCCGCCACGCGCGCGTGTCGAGATCCTTGCAATCCCAGTGGTTTCTGAAACGTTTCGAGATCGAGCTCTTCAGCATATACATGACACGATGACTGCTTTTCGGCACGAGATCCTCCAGGTTTCTTGGATTTCCGCTTGCGTGCACGTCCTCACCATCGCTCGTCAGCGCCACCGCATCTCCGTCGTCATCGTCATCCTCAGTCGCCACCGTTGGCGGCCATCATCCGTCGACCGTATTTATCAGCGACGATGGAAATCACCGTCTTCGTCGTCACCAGCATCGGTGCCGTCATTCGCCTTGCCGTCGCCATCGCCATCATCGCCACCACCATCGCTACTATCATCATCGTTGCCGCCGTTGTTGGCGTCATCGTAATACAGCGCCCGCCCGAGTTACCGACCAGCGCGGCTTTTCAGCTGCGCCGGGAAGTTCCCATCGGTAAGCGCGATCGGGGCCGCGTCGGTTGTGCTAACCCTGGTCACCGCTCTGCGCGCGAGCTTGCTCGCGTTAGCGCAGCCGCAGAGATGTGCCAGCCAGTGCCAAGCAGTGACCGCAATCGTGGCCGCATGGGTTGTGCAAAACAAGTTGCGATTGGGAGTGTGCCATGATTGCGCTGAGGGGATTTGCGATTCCAAGTTCTGCAAGGTGGATTGCACCCCGTAGCGTTTACCACCACCTAACTTGCACCACATAGCTTGCACCACATAGGTTGCACCACACTGCTTGCACCACACCAGCTTAAACCACCCAGCTTGCACCACATAGCTTGCACCGCGCAACTTGCACCACGTAGCTTGCGCAACGTAGCTTGCACCGCATAGGTTGCGCCACATACCTTGCCCAATATAGCCTGCACCACGTAGCTTGCACCGCATAGATTGTACCACATAGTTCGCATCGCATAGCTTGCCCCGAATAGTTAACACCACAGTGTGCGCCGCATGGCTTGCACTTCCACCGTGCAGAAATGTACTGTTTGGGGCTCACGGTCCAAGCAATACTAAGTGCATGTTCCACCATCTACCGAATACGCCCGACGTACCTTAAAATACATAACAGGTGCAGTTCTTCATTGTATACCATCTACCTTCGGCTGTACCACCGTACCATCTGTTTACTATTCCATAACTGCGTATTCTTATACAACAAATGACATGCATGTTCAATGTCAGGGCCTATGTTTGCCAGCGCGGCCCACACCCAGTAAGGTCTTGCTTAGTGGATGTATCTGCCGTGTGGCGAATACGCGTAGTCCAAGCTATGTGGTGCAAGCTGCGTGCCGTAACATATGCGGTGCGAACGACGTGATGCACACTAGGTGGTGTCTGGTATACCGTGCAAGCTATGTGATGTGATGGGTGTCGTGTCGTGCAGGAGCAGGCTATGGTGCAAACGATCTGGCGTAAGCGATGATTCATGCTCGTGCAAGCTGCGCGGTGCATTCCAGGGGGTGGAGCCATAGCCAGGCGCCATGCGTAATCTTTCCACGGGCGGGCACCAGGAGGAGGAGGAGGAGGAGGAGGAGGAGGAGGAGGAGGAGGAGGAGGAGGCAGGAGGAGGAGGAGGAGGGGAGGAGGAGGAGGAGGAGGAGGAGGAGGAGGAGGAGGCAGGAGGGGGAAGCCCCGGCTGACCCGCCCAGCACGACACATCCCCGAGGCGCCCGCGGGCGCTCACCAGCCGGGCCTGCCAGGCGAATCTCTGGCGGACCACCCCGCACGAGGCGCCCCCAGGAGGCGCCCACGGGCGGGCACCGTGCGAAGCCTCGGCTGGCCCGTCCGGTGCCTGCAGGACCTCACATAGGTGCAGGCGCCGTTGGAGGAATTCGCATCATCCATGTATGTCGATGTCGGTATACATACAAAACTATGTTTTGTGTGTTTGTATATATATATATATACACACCGTTTGAGCCAACGTGGACCCCAAGCAGTGATTTCTCGAAGCCCACGCGGCGCAGTGTAGGTGGTGCAATCCATGTGGTGCAATCTAGGCGGTGCAGTCCATGTGGTGCAAAGCGCTGCAATTCAATGACAAGCAATGCAAAGCAATGTAAAGCAATGCGACGCAATGCAACGCAATGCAAAGCAATGCAGAGCAACGCAGTGCAATGCAAAGCAAGGCAAACAAATGCAATATCATTCGGTTGCAATGCAATGCGATGCAAAGCAATGCAACGCAATGCGAAGAAATGCATTGCAATACATAGCAATGCAAAACAATGCAACGCAATGCGCAGCAATCCACAGCAAGGCTAAGCAATGCTACGCACTGCCAAGCTATGCAAGGCAATTCTCAGAAATGCACAGCAAGGCAAAACAAAGCAGAGCAATGCAACGCAATGCAACGCAATGCAACACAATGAACAGCTTTGTAAAGCAATGCAACGCATTGCAAAGCAATGCACAGCAATGCAAACGAGTACAACGCAATGCAAAGCAATGCACAGCAATGCCATTCGATGCATAGCAATGCAAAGCAATGCACATGTGCAAAGCAATGCAACCAATGCAGCTGGGGCCTTCCCGAGGCGGTTTGGCGGCCTCTCCAGGGCTGTTTTGAGGCCTCTTGGGGCCTCTTTTGGGGTCTCTTTGGGGGCTTTGGGGGGTCTCGTGGGGGCCTCGTGGGGCCCCTTGAGGGCCTCTTGGGCCTTCCCGGGAGCCTCTTGGGGCGGAGAGCTAGAATTTTCGGTTAGTGGTCCCGTTCTTGGGCCCCTCTTGGGGCCGTCTTGGAGGCCTCTCGGGCTGTCTTGAGGCCCTCGTAACCCGTGTTCGGGCCCTCTTGGGCCGTCTTGGGACCTTCTCGGGGGCCTGACGGACCGTCTTGAGGCGGTCTTTGGGGCCTCTTGGGCCGTCTTCGAGCGTCGGAAGCCCGAAAAGGCGAGAAAGTCAAAAACCTCTTGGAACGTCTTGGGCGTCTCTTGGAGCCCTCGTGGCCCGTTTTGAGGCCGTCGGTGCCACCTTGGCAGAATTGCTGGAGCAAAGTACACCCCCGGCCGGCCCGCAAAGTGCCCTTCCTGGTCGGCCCGGCCGGCCTGGCCTGGCCAGGTAGACCCTCCCCCGCGGGTATGTTTTGCCCGTGGCTGTGTTTGGGGGCCTCTCGGGGAGCTTATGAGGTCTCCCAGAAGATTTTTTGGGACAGAAAGCTGAGTTTGTAGTTCATGGTCCCGACCTGGGCCTTTCGTATGGCTGTCTCCGACCGCTATGAGGCTGCATTGAAGCTCTCTTGAGCCGTCGTGGGGCCAGCGTAGGCTGTCTACAAGCCGGCGTGGGGGCCTCGTGAGTCGTCTGGGGACGTTGTTGGAGGCTTCGTGAAATCGTTGGACACCCAAGAAGGCTGGAAGGCCCAAAACCGTCGAAAAACTAATGAAAGTGAACCCTGCCGTGAGATAATCTAACCGTTGGGGTCCTTTTTGAAAACCTCTTCGAGGCCTCGTTGAACGTCATGGAGGCATCCTAGGCCGCTGTTGCTGCTTCGGGCTGCTGCGTGAATGATGCTTGTATTTGTATCCGATGGCATTCAGCCCATCCCGCCACCGTGCCTGTGCTTTGTCTCAGAAGCCTCTTGGATGTGCGGTGGGATCTCGTGAGACGCGTCGCTGGGGCCTTCCCGAGGCAGCTTGGCGGCCTCTGGGGGGCTGTTTGGGGGCCTCTTGGGGCCTCTTTTGGGGCTTTGGAGGTCTCGTGGGGGCCTCGTGGGGCCCCTTGAGGGCCTCTTGGGCCTTCCCGGGAGCCTCTTGGGGCGAAGAGCTAGAATTTTCGGTTAGTGGTCCCGTTCTTGGGCCCCTCTTGGGGCCTTCTTGGAGGCCTCTTGGGCTGTCTTGAGGCCCTCGTAACCCGTCTTCGGGCCCTCTTGGGCCGTCTTGGGACCTTCTCGGGGGCCTGACGGGCCGTCTTGAGGCGGTCTTGGGAGGAGGAGGAGCAGGAGGAGGAGGAGGAGGAGGAGGAGGAGGAGGAGGAGGAGGAGGAGGAGGAGGAGGAGGAGGAGGGGAGGGGGGGGAGGAGGAGGAGGAGGAGGAGAGAGGAGGAGGAGGAGGAGGAGGAGGAGGAGGAGGAGGAGGAGGAGGAGGAGGAGGAGGAGGAGGAGGAGGAGGAGGAGGAGGAGGAGGAGGAGGAGGAGGAGGAGGAGGAGGAGGAGGAGGAGGAGGAGGAGGAGAGGAGGAGGAGGAGGAGGAGGAGGAGGAGGAGGAGGAGGAGGAGGAGGAGGAGGAGGAGGAGGGCGGCGGAATTTCCCAGAAGCCCTCGCGCCCTCTGCCCCCTGCGAGGCTTCTGCTGCGCCTGCGGGGCAGGCTGAGAAAGCTTCTCGGAAGGCCGGGGGACTTCCGAACCCGTTGAGAAGGCCAGGGGACTTCGGAACTTGGAAACCAGGGGGCAGGGGAAAGCTTCTCGGAAGGCCAGGGGACTTCCGAAGTTGGAAAGCTTCTAAGAAGGCCAGGGGACTTCCGAACTTGGAACTTCCAAAGCTGGAAAGCTTCTCAGAAGGCCAGGGGACTTCCAAACCTGTTGAGGAGGCCTGCCCCTTCTCACTTCCCCCCCCCGCCTGGGCTCGCCGCCAGGCATCCTGGACCCCCGACGTCATGATTTTTTCGTGACGTCGACCCCCAGAGGTCTCGACCCATTCCCCAGGACCGGCTCTTCCTCCTGAGTCGTTCTTTGACGGCTCCGACGCACGGTCATGGCCCCCAGGGGCCGAAAATCTCCAAAAATTGCCCGCCATGATTTTTCCATTGCCCGAGGGGGTCTGGGAGAATGCCGAGTCCGACCGACCATCAGCCAGTCCGCTCTCCTTCCCCGTCTGGAGGACGGCGACGCGGCGGACGCCGGCGACGCGGCGGACGCCGGCGCCGCCGCGCCCGTCGAGCCGGGGCAGCAGGAGGCGGGCTCAGCCGGAGGCGAAGGCGGCGAGGGCGCTGGGCCGGAGGAGGAGCAGGAGGAGCGCCTGCCCCTTCCGAGCTGGGCGGCGGAGGAGTGGCATCGGCGGCGAGCGAGGGGGGGAGGGAGAGAAGGAGAAGGCCTTCTCAGATGGCGGCGGGGCTTCTCGGGAGCCTCCCGGCCTCCTGAGAGGTTTTTGCATGTCCTCCGGGAAGGCGTAGAAACATTCTCAGAAGGCCGGGGGACTTCCGAGCCTTCTGAGAAGGCCCGCGCCCCTTCTTATTTCCCCCCGGGGTCGCCGCCGATCGGAGGCAGGAGGAGGAGGAAGAAGAGGACCAGGGTAAACCAACGATGCGTAAGCAATGCTGCAGCACCCCCCCCGTCCCAAGTACCCCTCGCACGCGCCCCTCCAAGTCCTCCTTTGGACTAAAAAAAGCGCTCCCCTTTAAAGACCGGCACAGTTGGGCATCTCATTTTGGTGAGGGCCCCACTTTGGAAAGGAACAACCTTGCATCTTTCTGGCGTGTAGTCAGGAGCGCGAAAGAAACATTGAGAAGCAGATGCCAGCGTGGAGGGCGCCGAGAAGAGAGGGACAGCCGCGGAGGGGCAGGGGTCGCGGCCCAAACGGCGGCTATGAGGGCGCGGAAGGGCTGGCAGACGCAGCGATCGCCATTTAAGAGCTTACACTGCGCGAGAGCGCGGCCAACCGAGCACTCTGCAATATCGTGGCCGCGTTCTGGCTGCACCCCATCGGCTGGGCAATCTCCACGGCATGCTTAGGGGCAGGAGCAAGCAACCAAGTCACAATCAAGTAGGCGGGCGAGGGCCGCGGCATTAGCCCACCGCATTGCCACGTGGTAGTGACAGGGCTTGGAGCGATGATAGGCCGACTCGACAACCCCAGCGATTCAGCTTGTCAGAAGGCCCTGAAAGAGCCCCAAACGCTACGCGATCAGGACTGGGCCATAGTAGCAGTAGGCGAGGTGTTCGATCAAGTCATTCCGCGCCAAGGCAGCCCACAAGGTCTGGACGGGGGCGACAGCGACCGCAAGGTCAAGCTGCAACACAGCCCCAACCCGTTGTCGAACATACAGGTAGCCCTGCACATCGCCAAGAAGAGGGGCATGCCTAACGTACCAGACACGCACTGACCCCTCAACGTTCTCCTGATCAAGCCAGCGATGGGCGCGGCGCTGATGAAGGACGGGGCAGAGCGTCCGACCAGACCAGGGCCGAGGGCGGAGTTGGAGAGGGCGGCGGAGGCGAAGCTCAAGGGGCTGAGGCGTGGAGGGAGGAGGATCAGCGAGGGCACGGCAGATAGCCAACACCCTGTCCCGGATGAACACGGCGCTGGGGGTTCTGAGCATGCGGCGCTACTTGTCATCGAGCGCACGTCGACTCCAGCGTGATTGGTATTGGGTCATTGCTGCGACATTTGGGACGCGGGGCAGAGTCAGCAGTTGAAGGCACCGCTACTACTCCGGAGCCACTTTTTTATCCTCGATGAGCGCGGCGTCTTTTTCCTGCTCTTTCACCTGCAGCGGCGTCGTTTCCAGCAGGAGGCCTAGAGGGCCGCGTTAGGCAACCTGGCGGCACCAATCGAAATCTTCTCCAAGCTGTCAAGGCACTTAGCATATGCCGCGACGGGTTCGTGAGCATCAGCGCCGCCTTGAACTGCTGAGCTCAATAACCGATCGTCGGAAACTCACTACCGACCGGCTTGAGAACTTAGAGCCCAAGTTGCGCAGGCGGGGGCCATCGAGTTAGGACCAGTTGAGGAATATCACATACGTTCAAGGTCATGAAGTTGACAGCGCATGTGGATCAGTGTTATATGTATGTAGCATATCAGAGACGCTCTGCATCGAAATGCCCGCTACCGCAGGAAAGGCCACGTGTGAAATCTAGCCTGCCGCGGGGCAGGTCGACGAATCTAGCATGCCCGGCAAGTCTTGGGCCAGATGGATCCAGACGCTGCCCCGACTTGAGACCCTTGCAGCCGGAGTGCCGTGGCCTCAGTCTGTCGAGCCGGGGTGGCCGGCCAGCGGCTGCGCGCTCCTGCGGCGGGCCACGCCTGCTCTGGAGGGCTCGACGTGCAAGCAGGAGCCCGTGGGACAGCGCGGCGAAGGGTCGCAGACGGTCGACGCAGGCAGTCCGGACTTCGGCCGCGACCCCGGGTGCGAGGGCAGCGTAGTTGGCCAGTGCGCCCCCAAACACGGTCCCGCGCAAAGGGGAGTGGTAGGGGGCTTTCTTTCTGTTCGCGATCCTGTGAGGGCCTGAACAAGGGCCGACAGTTAAGCGCCCACGATGGGCGAGGGCCGACAGTTAAGCACCCATGATGGGCGTCGCGCACTGTGAGCGCCCCCCCTGGAACAAACATGTGTTCAACGGCGTTCGTCGGACATCGCGGCGGGCAATCGGCACAGCCCAGGCCGCGGGCGCCCAGATGGCGCAGAATACAGAGGCCAAGGGCGAGCCCGCCCGATGGCCTAGGGGACAGAGGCCCAGTCTGCATCATGCCCTTCTCGCCACAAGCGTGACCCAGGATCAGCGCGGCCAGGCGGTGAGTCAGCAGGCCGGGCAACATTTCCTTGGGTGTAACTCCACGGGCAGCGCGAGACAAGGGACGAGGAATAACAGAGAAGTGAAGTCCTGCCTGGCGCCGCCAGAGCAGGGCTGCCCCTCGTGGCGCAGCACTGGCGGGAGTCATCTTCAGAAGGACTCCGAGGCGGAGGAACAGGCGGGCCCTCGCCGTCCTCGACCCTTCGGGTTCCGCGACCTGTCGGAGCGCAAGCCTGGGGTCCGCGACGTGGCCCGCAGGTGGGCACCGGCTCCGCGGCAGCGGTGGGGGCGCCTCCCAGGGGTGCAGGGCCGCGCCCGTCCGGCGGATCGGCGGCCTCCAGCGCGCTCCCAGCCCGCCGCCTCGCGCGCCTGCGCTCGCTGCTAAAATTCGGGGGCGGAAAAGAGGGGGGGGATGACTAGGGGGGGGTGGATATCATGGCGTGGGCCATGATGTTTTGTTTCCCCAGAGTTCATGGCGCCTCTCCTTAGTTCTTTCCGTCCCCGGCCCCCCCGCCGGGCCGCGCACGTGCCGCCGGCCATGATCTGCACCCCCCCCCTCTTGGACGCCCCCTCTTGGCCGCTCCCGACGCTAAGATGCTGGCATGCCTGCTGTCCGAAGAAGGGCCCGCAGGGGCCAGGGACGGGCACGCCGACATCGGGAGGCGGTGGCCGCGCAGCGGCGTGGCACAGGTGCGCGGCGCCTCATGGCGAGAGGAGGTGCCTGCCGTGGCGTGCGTCGGGCGGCAGGACGGGCGCAGGCCTGCACAGGTTTACGCCGGGATGTCGTGGAGGTGCCCGTCAGCCTGCGCTGCGCGCACTCCCTCCCGAGCAAGCGGCACAATGCGGCAGTGTGTGTGTGTGTGTGTGTGCACCGCGCGCGTTGCAGAAGACCAGCTGCGTGTCGACCTCACCGTGCTGAACAAACAGGAAGCCAAGCTATGCCCGAGGGAGAGATCAAGTGCACCTCTGCAGGTCCTGCTGGAACCTCTACAATCGAGCACGGGCCTTCCGTGGGGTCTTTGGAGAGATGTAAACATCGGAGGCAGCGCGCACAACCACGGCCTAGCTCTCCCCTACGAGTGCCAGCCCCTTGAGCGGAAGCATCTGGCCCTGAGGCCTTCGGAGGCTCGGTCGAGTTCTGTCCTGCGAGAAGTCGCTCAAATCTTTGCCCATGTCTTTGGCAAGGGGCACGAGCAGGGAGCACATCCTGCCCACCTCTTGCACTTCAGGGAGGGAGGGCTGCGAGGGTGGTCAAGGAGAGCCCGTTTGGCCTCTCGGCATCGGCGTGCTGGATCGCGAGGCCAGCCCGTCTGTCCGAGAGGGCGGCGAGCCCATCCAGCACCTCACACAGGATGCGCAGGGGGTACACGCGTGCTCGGGACGGCGACCAGCCTCTCAGAAGGAGGCTGCCTGTTGGAAGGCGCGGGCCTCGTCTGCAGATGTCAGGGCGGCGCCTTCTAAGAGGCAGGCTCCTTCTGAGAAGCCTTCCTCCCTCCCCCCTTCACCCCTTTGCGCGCCGCCCGCAAACAGTGTTTGCGTTCAGGAGTTTTTGCGTCCGGGTTTTCACCACGTTGTTGCCTCGTGGCCTCCTCGTCCGCGCGTGCCTCCTCGTGAGAGGCCCGCGCTTGCGGGGGGGGTGTATGCCAAGGTTGCGTCACGTTGCCGCCTGTGCCGCTTTGTGGGCGCCTCGTGGGCGTCCCTTGCACTGGGTGGGTTTCCCGAGGTGGTGCCACGTTGCCCCCCGTGTCGCCTCGTGGGCGCTTCGTCGGCGCCCCGTGCTCTGAGCTTACACGACACAGCTTTCATCACAGAGTTTACGCCACCTAGCTTACACCGCACATGTTGCACCACATGGTTTACATCACATAGCTAACCTTACGCCCCATGGCTTTCACCTCCAATCCAAACCGCCTAGCTTACACGGCATAGCTTACACCACATCGCTTGCACCGCACAGTTTTCGCCATAGCTCATGCCACATAGTTTACACGACACAGCGTTCACCGCAAAGCTTACACCGCATAGCAGTCACCTCCACAGTGCAAGAGCGCACTGGTTTGAGGTCCACGCTGGCTAACATTGTACAGTGTTTGAGCTGTTTGCTTTTGACTGTGCTGCGCAGTGTAAGGGTCGAGCAGGAACCCGGGGGGAGAAGCGGAGCGGGCGAGCGGGAGCGAGCGTCCCAGGCGCTCGCGCCCCGTTGCAGCGCGTCGTTCCGCGTGCCGTGCCACCGTGCCATCGCGCCCTTGCAGGAGGTACGAGCGCTGAGCACGAGCACCTGCCGCGATGCTGCCCCGCGAGCTCCCGCGTGGGGCCTGGGCTCTCCAGTGGCGTCGACACTGGGCAGCCCCCCCGCGCCCGCTGCAGGTTTTCTGGGCAGCGTGGCGCGGCTCCCGCGCCTCGGCGGCGCCCGCACCGTGCGCCTCTCCGCACGCCAGCGCGGGGTGCCGCGGGGCATCCGTTTCCAAGGCGTTCGCTTCGTGCATTCCGTGATGGGCCTGTTGTCCACCACCACCACCACCACCATAAGTTGGAGGGGGGAAGGAGGAGGAGGAGGAGGAGGAGGAGGAGGAGGAGGAGGAGGAGAGGAGGAGGAGGAGGAGGAGGAGGAGGAGGAGGAGGAGGAGGAGGAGGAGGAGGAGGAGGAGGAGGAGGAGGAGGAGGAGGAGGAGAGGGAGGAGGACCCCCTACCCCTCCTGCTTGTGGTGGTGGCGGTGGGACGCAGGCCCTCCATCCCGCAGGGACCTGCGCGCGATCGTGACTTCTTCGGCTGCCCCAGCAGGGAGCCCAGCCCAGGGTCCGCCTCCGCCTCCCCCCAGGGCCAGAGGCTGGGGCGGCGTCCCAGTGAAGCTTCGCTGTCCCCACCCGGCCTGGGGGCCTGCGCGGGCTCCAGCCTACTGAGAACTCGTCGGGACGACGTTGACATCCGCGCATCACAGAGAGCGCGGGAGCCACGGGGGGCGGGGGCAAGGCGTCGGGTTCAGCCCTCCCCGGACCAGATCACCCGCATGAGCGAGAAGACAGGGCGGCTGTCCGGGCACTCAGGAAGGCCTGTCTACACGGGGCTTTCATGGCATGGCCCAAACTTCGCATTGGGGCCTTGAGAGATATACATCCTCCCCGTGGACTTGCTCCACCACGGCCAGTGGCACCACTAGTGGACTAACTCCACCGCGGCCAGTTGCATTTGGTTTTGGCCATCCTGGTTATTTGAAGGATGTGGTCCGTTGTCGTCCAGCTGTTGTCTGTATATGTGTCGGGCTGTCCCGTAAGCTGCCCAACAGTCTCCAGTATTTTGCCGATGACCGCTTCATCTCTAAAAATGGTTCTTTAAGCCTATGGCGAACTTGGTAATCCTCTTCTGCCTCCTCCCTCCTCCCTCTCCTCTCTCTCTCACCTCCCCTCCCTCCGCGGCCAACTGTCTGATGCCAGCGGCGAGGACAACACGTGCGCCGCGCCGAAGCAGCACTGCTGCGCTGCGCGCGGGCCAGACAGCATCCTGCCCGCTCGCGCGCCGCCCCGCGCCGCGACCCCACTGCCCGACGTCTCGGCGTCGTCGTCCCTTCTCGTCCCTGCTCCCTGCTGCCTCCTCCGCGCTGCCTCCCCCCCGTCCTGCCTCGATTCCCCCTTGCTGCCGCGCGCCTCCCGCCTCCTGCCTCCTGCGCGCCCCCCTCTCCCTGGCGCTCGATCGGCCGCACCCGCGCACCCCTCCCGCCCAGCCCGAGGACGGCGACGCGGGAGACGCGCAGGGCGCCGGCGCAGACGCGGGGCAGGCCGCCGATGCTCCTGAGGCGGAGGCAGCGGCGGCGGCGAGTGGTAAGGCTTCGGTCTGCGCGCGGGCAGCCCCCCCAGGTGGTCCCGGCTGCCCTTTGGCACCTCCTGGTCTGAGGTGAGCGTTGCCTATGACGTTCGCGGAGGCAACGCCCCCCACCATCCCGCTGCCGCGCACTCCCCTGTGCTGGCAGGGGTCGTGGGTGCCCTCCCCCTCCCAATGCGGTGCAGGTGGCCTGTCCTGGGCACGGCGCGTCGGCGCCCGCTCGCTCGGTCAGCGCCCGCCGGACAAAAATAAAAGTCCCGGCTGCCCTTCACAGGCCCCCGAGCAGTCCACCACGAGTAGACCCATGCGGGCTCCACACTTCATCAACCCTGGGGCGCGGAGCGCCCCAGGGGCGCCGCCAGAGGCGGCGCCAGGGTGCCGAGACCGCCCTGGACTGCTCGGGGGGCTTGTTGAGGCCAGCTGAGACTATCTGGACGCCCGACATGGGCACGGAAAGAATGGGTACAATGCCCAACAGCAGTTCCTGTTCATTTTGAACAGGACTCGCTGTCGGTGTCGCCGCGGCCTGTGTCCATTTGAGACAGAGGGCCGCTTGCCCAACAGCGGCCGCTGTTGGTTTGGGATAACATTTGTTATTGGGCATTGTACCCATTCTTTCCGTGCCCATTTCGGGTGTCCAAAGACTATTCGGAGTGGCCTGTTGAGTCCAGCCGGGACTACCTGGGGGCGGGCTGTGTTTGCGCAGCCCGAAGGCCTACCAGTGGGGAGGCGGGCGGGGGAGGGTTGGGGCAAGCGGAGTGGAGAGACAGCCTGTCTATTCTCGCCTTTTCTGTCGGTCGGCTTTGGAGCGTCGCATGTGTGGTTCGGCTGCATTGCATGCTGCGGACTGCAGGCTGCCTGTTGCAAATTGCAGGTTGCAGAAGGACCACGAGGGAGGGTGGATGTACGCAAATGGCGGGAGGCGAGATGGTAGAGGAGCGAAGAGCGAACCTCGAAGAGGATACTGTTGCTGCTGATAATGCTGGTGAGGACAGTGATGATGATACGAATGTTGATGGTAAGTATGATGATGATGATGCTGGTGTTGATGCTGATTCTGCTGCTGATGATGAGGATGCTTCGGATGATGATGTTGCTGATGATGATGATGATGATGATGATGATGAGGATGATGATGATGATGATGATGATGGTGTTGCTTCTGGTTGTGTTGTTGTTGTTGTTGGTGTTGTTGCTGTTACGGTTGTTGCTGTTGTTGGGGTTGTTGGTGTTTTTGTTGCTGCTGATGATGATGCTGCTGATGGTGAACATGGAGAACATAACAACACCAAGCAGAGAGAGAGAGAGAGGGTCAGAGATAGAGAGATAATTAGGCAAGTAAGCACAGCACATGATTCCACTCGCTCAACGTCGCGGATTGGCTTATTCCATACGAATGAAGCATTTCGGAATCAGTCTGATACCAGTGCAACCCTAGGCCGAGGAAAACACGAGCTTCCAAACTGTAGCCGACGAGCCGACTATATTTTTCCCGACTATGCCACAATACCCATGGATAGAGAAGAAGAATCAGGAAGGCCATCAACCATATTCTTGAAGAAGTACAGGAGCCAAGTTCTTCACGGACCTACCCGGCAGCGTGACGGTGGGGCGAATATTGTCGTCAAGCCCCAGAACGACGATGAGGACAGCCCCCGTGCCAGCGCCCAACACCGCCAACAAGTCCAGGACTTGGAGCTACGCGTGCACCCAATTCACTAGCGATTGCTGGAGGCGATGCAGTGCGACCACCAGGCCACATCTTCGGCGGAACGCCTGCGCTGCTGGCGGCCCGCCCGCCGGCCCCCGCGTGGAGAAGCCCCACAGAGCGATGGCGACTGCACAAGAAGGGTTTAGGGTTTAGGGTTTAGGGTTTAGGGTTTAGGGTTTAGGGTTTGAGCACGCGAACGCTCGCACATTCGCGCGCACCCCGACGGTGCGCAACCTGCCAACCTTCTGCGGCCGACCTGGCTAAGGATGCCAGATCTGTAGGCTTCTGGTGGGTCTCCTGGGCGTGCGCCACCT